CTATTATGGTGTTATCACTCATTGCTGAGGATCTTCTTTTAATTTCGGAGGGCGGGCGAGGGTTAACCCAATAGCAACCCCCCCCCTAGAAACGTGTCTGCCATGAATCTACTGTAGTGAGCCCTTCCTGCTGAATAAAACTAATAAATATTATTTTTCACTCAACTCGAGACCGTACCAGTGAAAAGGTAGTAATTTTTAGTTATTCTTGTAAGTAATAAATCGTCTGCCGGTGCGTCTATTTGGTAGCGTATATAAAAAAAAAAGATTATTATTATTATTATTTATTGTTAGCCACGTTCCTACAATAGCAACATAATAAGGTAGTCTCGTACATGCATGCCATTTACACATTGTACAATAGTACACGATACGTGTATGTAGAGAACATGTTAACAGAGACCGATACAACAATAACCAATAACAAAAGCATTCGTTTTTCCTACGATAAAAGTACTGGTGTTACAAACGAATGGTCTGTCATCTGTCTCACTTATACCGTTTACGATGATACTATTTGGAGTCGCGGTTTTTACGATTATCAGTATCGTAGTGATTCTTGTGACTTGTTACGCCTACAGGAATATACAGGAAAGGATATCCTTCCTCAGTAAGTCGTTAATCGTAAGTTTAAACAAATTAAGGAATATTCCACTTATAATTACATTTATAAAGAAAATGGAAACGCTTTTTGTTTAGCTACTCATTTAAAAAATTTAAGATTATTAAACAATAATAAAAATGTAACAGTTAACTATTTAGGGTCTTTTATTATAGTCAGAAATGCGGAATTTAATTGCATCTAGATGCGCACCTAATGTATTTTGTTTATTAATTACTGGAAGAGTTATATTATGTTATTTAATAAAAAGTAAAGTAAAAATTAGGACATTATCTTTTAAGCAAATTACTAAATTTGTATTTTACTTTCCGGTTTGAACGGAAATTTTTTACCATAACAGTAACAAACTTACCATGTTTTTCATATAATAACAAAATTCCACGGTAAAGGTTATTGCTTCCTGAAAATTTTATTTAAAAACCAATAAATCTTTCTATAATAAGAAAGGCAGTGGAAAAATTTAATCGTTTATCCACAATAGTTTAATCGCTCTTATCGAGTAAACTGGACCTTCAGACAAATTGCTTTATTATCGTATATTGTGATAAGAGTATAATACATATGATTACACATCGTGTATTGGGCATAACGTTTTATTATCAGTGGGTGTTGTTTCCACGACTTTTTCCTTATTATCATCATCAGTGCCTAACACTTTTTCATCTTTAATGGATTTCATATTTATTTGCCGCTCTGTCTCGCTTTTTACCTTTCTCATTCGACACTTGTTAATCTTGATTTTATCCAAGCCGGATAACTGATCGGCCATTTCCCTTGTTATCCTTTTCGGTAAAGAATATGTTCCTTTAAAATCGCCCCATGCGCTGCACATTGATTTCGGAATATCTCCTAATAAATGCCCCATGTCGTTTGAAATTGGATAAACATCACCTTTTCGTTTTCTGGGTGGCTTAAACCACTTTGGCACTTCCCAATTTCTCAGAATTGTTGGTTTAAAAGCGTCTTCAAACTGCGTGGTCCAATACGGTTCGTTAATATAATTTTGTTCTCTAATAGCCATATTTAATCATATTTTTTAACAATCTAGACAACGTTTTGTAGCCCAATCCCGCTCCCATATGCCCAAATGTACTTAACTAAAACATTTAGAATTATTGCTACACTTTACGTTATTTCTTGATGACATTTCGATCAAGCATAGAAAAATTGCCACCCCTTTCTGTTTCCTTTAGCGTTTCCATGGAAATTTAATAAATAAATCAATTCAGTTCGCGTAACAAAATGTTAAAACTAAAGACAAAAAAAAATGTAAATATGTAACCTACATAAATAAATTATTGTTAAGTTATTGACCAAGCTATAGAGAGATAAAATTTTCTAGTGACATTAACATCTTTCGTAGATAAAAATATACTATTACTTCTTTCATAATTGTGATATATATGTAGAAGATAAAAAAAGAGTAAATTCATTGCATTCAAAATTTAATTGCTTTAATTGTTTTGTATACTTCAGGGCATTGCAATTAATTTGTAGATAGCAGAGTGGAAAATAACTATCTCTAATAAGAGGCATTAAACTGTCTGTATGTAATTTTAATATATCGACGGAATTTTATATAGCATTTAGTCCTACTTCTTAAATTAGACTCATCCATATCTGTATTATAAAGCAGCTTGTTTGTTTACATTGTAAGAGTCTAAATGACCTGTTTTCATATCATGCGGTATAAAAATCGCGAGCTTCGTGTTAATCACTTCAGTGATAACGTCTTGTTATTTATAAACATATACAGGACGATAAAAAGGGCAAAATTAAGACGCTCTTATTTATTGTATCCATCACAAAATAATGTGAAAGGGGGGCCAATAGAATACCATGATAAGAACAGAGAATGAGAAAATATACTGGCAATGAATCTTATTTTCTTTTGTAAAAATAGATACAGCGAAGATGAGCAAAGCAAAACCAAAATCCAGACTATCCCAGTCTTGGTATTGGTCTTAATCTTGGTCTTGCTTAAATAGTTCTAGTTTTAGTATTGATTTTGGTCTTGCGTGTTATGTCAGGGTCTTCATTATCATTATAAGATCGTCAGCCCTGAGACTGGTTGGACACGCACCTCCACTCTTTCCTATTCTGAGCTAATCTTCGCATTTCCCTAAAACTAAAACAACCCACCTAGGTCTGCCTCTACCCCTCCTAACTCTTGTTTATGCTTCCAATATGTCTCTGACTACACCTTCATGTTTGAACCAACCTATCTCGCCTATTTTTCATTGACTTCCGTAGAGTCCTCTGTTCTATTCTTTCTAATACCTCTTCATTTCTAATCTTTTCTACCCACGTTATCCTCATCATTCGCTGCGCCCACTGACCATGTTTCGCACCCGTACAACGTCGCGCTTCAAACATACACCATTAACAACCTTTTTCGAATTTCTAGATTAACCGTTCGCGAGCATAGAAGTGACTTCTTTTTATTAAAGGCGACACAACCCTGCCCTATGCTCTGATTTATATCCCTACTACTGCTTCTTATGTGGGGGTCTTGCTCATTTAATAATATTCTTACACTTTTTTAATAATTCTTCTCGTAATATACTCTTTCTTATAGATCTAGTGTTAAGATCTAATAAAGCAAACTGAAAATTTCAAATATTAAAAATATTTTATTCCAAAAATAGAATATAGACGTTAAAGTTTCTTCTATTAGTTTAACTCATAAATCCGCCGAAAGTACAATAATAATTGTAATAATTTTTCGTTTAGACTTGCGTATTTGATCTTGGTATTGCATATTCAGTATTGGTTTTAGTCTTGGTATCGTTCATTCGGTCTTGGCCCAAGACCAAGATTAATTTTCCTCATCACTAACATATCCTATTCGAATAATATTAGGTTAGTAATAGTCATACCATTAAGATAGACTTTTTTAAAAATGCCATTGTGCAAAGTAAAGTTTTATTCATGCATTTAATAATTTCTACCCACTCAATAAGAAAATGATTAAGATTAATTAGTAATAAATATCCCACCTGAAAAAGTACTATGGAAATGGAAATGTGTAGGTTGTAGTCTTTCAGTCATTAATTTATGAAAAGTGACTCATTTTTGAATGCCGTATTTACAAAAATATTACTTATGCTACGTATAAGTACCTACCAAATTTGGTTATCACAGTTTTGACTGTTTTAGTGCATTTTCCAAAATAAGGTAAACGATAAGCTGCTTTTTCTGAGATTTTTTCTGGTCGAATTTTCATAAAACCTTATAATGATAGGATATAAACACATGTCGATTATAAATTATAATTATATAGTAGGTATTTTACTCTAATAACCGCATAGGGAAAGAGATAACATAAACTTTCATACTATGAACTATTCTGTTCCCTAGATATCCGCCTTGGTCCAATTCCCTGTCAAAAAGTACATTTCAAACATCAAATAAGACATTCCCAAAGACAAAAGTATTGAAGTATATCAAACATCATGTATAGGACACATTTTTTCTTTAGGCTTTATTTCTTCCGATTCAGGTAGAGGAGAGGTTTCTGGAACGCCCTCTTCCTCCATCTTATCCTCTACCGTTGTACCTTCTTCTGTCGCATTAGCAAATATCTTTTCCGAAATTTTACAAGTATCCAATGTTTCCGGTATCAGTTTGTTAAGTTTAGTAAGTTGGCTTGCAAACTCTCTTGTAATTTTCTTAGGGTAACTCCATGTCGGAATATAATTACCCCACAGGTTCTTTCTGCTTTTGGGTATACCAACTTTAAATTGACCAAAATCATTGACTAGCGTTACAACAGGTCTAGTTATTTTTGTTCCTGGAAAGAAGGGTTTCGGTATTTCCCAATTTTGAAGTCTCAAGGGCTTGTAAGCGTCGTCAAATTGTCCCGTCCAATGTGATGGGCCAGTAAAATAATTAACCCTTCTATCCCGTCTGTCTAGTATCGCATCTCTGGACATTTGTGATTAATTGAAATTTATTAATCCCATGAAAAATATTAAAAATATATGACAGGAGATAGCTAAACTCCACGAAATGATGATATAAAATGTTATAAAAAAAACAATTTCCAATTACAAAGCTACCTAGAAATACTTGATTTTATTAATAAATCTTTCGATATTACAAAAAAAATAGGGATCTACTTCAAAGGAATTCGAGTGTTTAAAAAGATAATAAACGGAAATCATCCCCTAATTTTCCAAATTTAGACGGGTTGTACAAATATTAAATAAATGTTTATCACAAGTTTGAAACAACAAATTTACAACGATTGTATTAATCAATTATTACTAGCGACTTTGTCCGCCTGACAGTTTGTACTTTTTGTAATTTTATATAATAAATAATTAAACAAAGTACTCTAGATCGCAGTTAAGGGTCGTTTGCATGTTTAGAGCATACAAATAACCATATTACGAGCTTAAAAGAAAACAGTTATTTCTGTAGTGGTTTCTGAGAAATTTGCATTTTTTTTAAATTTCAATAATATTGTCTTATCCAGTTTAGTGTTTTAAGAAGTTCGGCGAGTTTGTTTTGTTTTTTGAGTTTCAGTTTAGGTACTAATTGTTTAATAAGGGTATAGAAGTAGATGCAAAAGTTTTAAAGTCAAATTACACGAAAGATCAGGGACGGCTTTATAACTGCCTGGTCGGAATTATGTCTTTAAACAAGCATTTTTGCTTTCCTTAATTCCTGAGAATGTTGAACTTTCTTATAAAGTCCGATACTGGCAACATGCTCAAATTGTGCTTCTTTGCATCTCTTTCTGTTACACATCAATTGGTGTAATGTTATTCCTTTTTCTTTAATAGTGTCCGCTGCAATTTCTACCTGGCATCTCTTTTCTAGGTTTACGATATTCCCTATTACAACGTCTGTAGTGAGTAAAAGTACGCGTTCTATTAGCAACCGCTTTAGTTGAAAGTTGAAAGAACAAAGTAAATGCGACAGTTTTATTGCGGACTATGCCAATTTCGAACTAACAATGACTTGAATTCACAGATAATTTATGATGTACCTTCGCAATACTTTTATTAGGATACGCCTATGATTAAATCATGTGAGTAAACAGTCATGTGCTTTGGAAATTTTACGTGGTTCTAGAGAAAGTTAATGTTGATAGCTCCAATGACAATAATGAATACGTATAATACAAATATTTTCATTGATAGTTTTAAATGAATTTATCCTTGGTTTGTGTATACCACAAGATGTACATGCACTACAAATACGGAATAACAGCAGTAAATAGATATTCGTAATAAATATTAAAGGTATAATTTCTTTAATTGGCAAAATTATCTACAATATTAACATTTAGTAACTTTGGTGTTTTCCTATATACAGGGTGAGTCACTAAACCGAAATCGGTCATTCATACACTACTACATTCTACTACTTGTTGCGAAACCTTTTACAGTTTATTTTTACTTTACGAAAGATTAAATATTGCAGTAAGTTGGTGTATTGTCCGTATGCCTAATCAATTTTTTTAATGTTTCGGAAAGGCAGAGCCGCTACTGACATTATTTAAATCAAGAACATCACAACATCGTTTCTAATGCGGAGGTGGGCGCACGGTTAATAAAAAACAGTTCGACTGTGACGGTCGTCTAACGGAGTTCAATGATGATAGTAATTTAGCGTCAGAGCGTTATTATGACTTTATAAGTGTGCATATTTACGTTTTGTTATCTTATCAATTTAGTTGTTATACAAGTTGCCTTATTCTTGACAAATATACGTGCATGTGTTTTCCAGTTTAACTCACACGGGCAGTATTTCGTCAAAAACATACGAATAATTAATTCTCAATAATCAGTAGCTTTTATTTTTGTTTTCTCTTATGATCGGGAAAAAGTATCATGTTTCGCCCAGTTAAAGATGAGAATGAGCCAGACCAATTACATTGTTTTGTTTTTTATTTTCTTCCTGCTTATGTTTTGGTTCATGTATTGTGCCCAGAAAAGGATAAAAAAATACGAGAGGGTTTTATGTAAGTCACTTCTTCATAAATACTTATTTGCAAGTAATGTCATACTATATTAGAAACAAATTATCGGCGCGGAAGGTAAAGTTATGAAAAATGAAATGATTTATCTACCTAGGTTTTTCATAGTTATAAGTAGTTGGACTTTGATAAATATATTAATCTTAATTTTTTGTTACTAGGTAGAGTGCGTTTAATTTAGAGTACTAAAATAACACAGGAAAAATTCGGATGGGAGTAAGTAAGCAATAATTTTATAAAACAATTTAAATTTGTATTGAGAACGGTACACAAAAAACGAAAATTTATGGTGGTAATAATAGTTCTGCATAAAAACTCGTGGTAGTGATTATCGCTGCGGCTGATTTTATCGAAGAAAATTAGCAGAAACTTAAACTAAAGAAACAGTCAATAATGAAAAATCCGCACTGAAATCTCGAGTTACAGAAAAAACCGAGTTTGAGAGATGAGAAACAAATAACCGAAATTAAGATTTGGTAGGAATAATAGTAGAAGTTGGAGTTTACAGATTGTAAAGTTCGATTGTATACTGTCCTATTTTTGTTTCGAAATTAAATCTATATTAGTTTTTATAGAAATTTTAGCAAAACCAGGTAATGCTGCTTCTATTGACCTACTTACAGAAAAACTATTAAACTCCAACTGCCTACAAACTAGACAGAGCCAGTATAATTTTCTCTCGTTTAAGTTTGAACTAGTTCTTAGTAAAATAATCGTAAGCAAAATAAAATTAAAACAGTATGTATAATTGGTTGTAAATTATATTCGGACATTGTCCGCTATTTAGAATAGGAAGACGATTTAACTGCTTAAGACTTAGAAGAAAGAAGGTAAAGTGTTTAATCTGGTTATCATTTATACTATACTTAGCGACTACAAATTATAATTAAGACAAAGTGATTATTGGGTCAGAATTAATGAGATAAAACTAACTATTTTACAAAATATCCAGCGACACTTAGATAAAGGTGGAAATTAAAAGAAAAAAGTAGGACAACTGTAGCATTAACGGATTAAGTTAAATTATGATTGTCCTGGGATTTTTCCCTGTTACCGATAATGTCCTTCTTTTGACTTATTCGACATTCGACTATATTCGATACTTATGTCTATGTCATAGTCTATATATTATTACTTAAACTAACTCCAACCAACCAAGTAGCTATTATGAATACTACTTGAAAGTTTGCAAATTTTATCTATACAATTTAGTTATTGTATATAATGATGTACTTTTCTATTCCTTCACCATTTTTTCATCACATCTGTCACTCGGATAATCAATCAATATTCTCACAAGTTAAGGATCAATATGTACGAAGTTTAATTGAAATCTCTTCTGCGTTTTGTGAGATCAATTGCTACTGTTGCTGTTATTTATTGTTTTATCATCCTGTTTAAGATGAATATTTTATTTATTTCAGGCAGTCAGCAAGATGATATTTGGAACATAAGTGGAAGAGTAAATCAAGGACAGTCTCTTCCTCCCAACCGTTGGCCAACACATGATCACCACATTGCCGTAGAATCATTTGTTATTTCAGATCGCGTAGCCAAAAGTGTACCTCCCCCTCCCCCGTATTCGGAGGGTACGTATTAATACACATTGATTATTTGTTTATAAAAAACCTTTTCATTTTCTTAAAAATTTTTCCAGTAGCCAATAAAAACGCTTATTAAAAACATCCAATAATTAATTAATTTAATTTTAGAAGAACACTTATTATTTCCTTTTATTTATAAAGAGACCTTTGTTAAATCTTTTCTTGCTTATCATTCTTAAAACGTTAAATCAAAGGAAATTATTTTTGACATGACAACGTCTTATAATTCGATATAACCGGCTGCACGCACGAAAAAACATGACTCATGCGGCGTTACCTCGCTCTGAGGCGTTCCATTTAAGGCTTGAAGTGCAAGCGAGAGCGCGGAACGAGCGACAAAGAGACACAATTGGCCTCCGCGTTCGACATCTGTCTCTCTCCTACTTGAGTGAGCGATGCGTCCGCGTGGACAGCTGCTATACAATAATACATTTCCATTTACCTCCTTCTCTATATCCATACAAAATATCTATCAAACAAATAAAATTAAAATTTTCTTTTGAAAAATGAAACCATTCCATCAGTATTTTCTTATGACGTTGTCACGTTCAACTATCGTCAGTAAACCGACTTTACAGACAACCGATTTTTTTTTAATTAATTAATATTATGAAATATATCTTATTTTAGTGGATTTACCGTCCTATGAAGAAGCAACAGGGTGTTCTGGAAAAAACGACATAGCACCTGTGCATTCAACTCCGCAAACATCAACGAGCACGCGATAATATTAAATTTGACGAACTCATAATAATTAATACGCTAGTATTTAACATCAAAAAATAGTTTAACAATTGACATCGACTTGTTAACTTATTTAATTAATATAAAAGAGTTTAACAGAATCGATGGACTATTTATGAAGTGATTAAAAAAACAAAAACGAGACAGGAATGAGACTTACATTAAACATTACGAAATTATACTAAGGTAATAGTAAAAGACGAAATTTCTCAGTATTAGTGGAAGCAGCTAAAATACAGTTATTCGTTGTATCAATGGTTAATGATAAATGTAAATAAATTATCTGCATACTATTTCTACGAACTGAATATAAATTTTTATTGTAGTCGCCATGTTTAAAAAACTGAAAATAGTTACATGTCAACAAAACAATTTTTCGTTTAAATAAGTATAAAACATGAACTGCATGAAGGTTTTACTTTACATCGTAGTTAACAGTTTATGTAGCCACACTTTTTGTTCAATAACGCCTTCATACACTCATCTTTTCAATTACTTTCACACCTAGTACCAGTGGCGTATGCAGGAAGGATAAGAGGGGGACCCACCCAAATGCTCTATTGCATGTGGATAGTTCATTACGCCAGTACTGTGTGTATGGAAAAATATGATGCAATAACACAATTCTAAATAACTTCACCTTCTTGTCCATCTCCCGGATCCGCCCCTGGCAGTACTTAAAAAATAGACAGCTAAATTTTTATAGCTCTTTCATATAGGTACCCGTGTCTGGTATAATTACCATAATTTAGTAAAAGTTTAAGAATTGCAATACCATATACAAATGTATACATGTATGCCTCACAGCTGTGATATAATAATATGTAAAATGTACAAAGTAATTTTCAAAACATGTTGTTACCATGGGCGTAGATAGGTAGGGGCAAGGGAGGCTCTGCCTTTCTAGTAAAGTCATTGCCCCCTGGGAAAAGGTTCTGACGAGTCAGGATATCAGCACAAAGTTTAAAAAACATCAAATCTATATAAACTTACAGCTATTCATAATCTGCCCCCCCTAGGAAAAATCTCTCGCTACGCCTATAGTTGTTACTACTAAAATGCTTAGTAGTTTGCCAAAAACATATTTTTTAGTTTCCAGAATGCTAATTTTGTAATATTTTCTGGCAATAAAACTTGACACCAGTATTGGAGAGAAATCTCAACTAAAAAACTTCAATTTCATTCCAATCACAATTTCTAGTTGTTTTTCTTCTTATACTGGGTCTAGGACATGTAAACGATTATAATAATTAATTATGTTCACTATTTGTTACTTATTCGTCTGTAATTCTGTAAGTATGTAAGTGAAGTAAACAATATTACTATATTTAATACATACCTACGAGATTTGTCGATGTAACATATTTGCTAATTGTTACTGTGATCTAAGTTTTACCTATATGTATATATTTTATATAAAATTATTGATAATAAAATAATTGTTACGAATCGAGTAATTTTTCATATTCTCTCTAACCATTAAGCACCTTAAACAGTAAGAAATACACGAATACAGTCTGCGCAGTGTCCGTCACGGTTTTTACAGTTATTAAGTTTATATTCCAATAATGGAAGGTTAATCAAAGTATTGTTAAACGGAAAATCATTCGTTTTTATTTGATCAGTAACAATAGAATGTAACATTACTTTTCTCATATGTTTTAAAACTGTTGATGAAAACATAAAACAAAAACAATGTGAAGAAAAAGCTGGTAAGTCAATCTTTTTAGAATTTGTTTCTTATAAAATGAATTTAGGCGTAAATATTCATATACTGTAGGTAGTTTTAGATATTTATACACAGGTACAAAAATGTTTATCTGGCCCCGATTTGGACCTAAATTATTCCTTATTTTCAGTAGACTCCTTGTCATGTTTTTTTTTTATAAAATAGTTCTTGTTATAATTACGTAGAAATGATTATCATATGTTGAAATATAGCGTATGACGTTGTAACTATCATGTACTAATAAAAGGAAAATCTAATCAAATTCGAATTATTGATATATATGCTTCTCAATTTTTAATGAACTTGAAACGGATTCACACGGTCAACTTCCCAATGTAAAATAATAAATAAACCTTTTTCAAGAAGTCCCCCAAGTCTAGTTTTCTGCTTTTTCGTTTAAACTAATAGAACGGCCTAAATGAATATTTTTCAAATCATATTCTTAATGCGATTTTAGATACCTAGGAAGTCAGATAAGTGAGGATGGAAAGAGTAGTAGGTAGTAGGGATATAAAGCAGAGGATAGCGCAGGGTCGTGTCGCCTTTAATAAAAAGAAGTCACTTCTATGCTCGCGAACGGTNCTCATGTACACCTACAGTAAAATATGTAATGCACGAGTGTATATTATAACAAATATGTATATAAATAATAGGGTGGCATCTTTCAGTAAAAATTAGCATCTACCCAGTATATGCTATTTACTTATCGTTACCATTACTTCCATGAACTGTTTTTTTTGTTTTATTACACAACGATAATTACTTTTAAGTGCTTTTTCGCACATTTAGATAGTATAGAAATTAAAGCTTATTTGATATTTCCACTAGCACTCATCTAAACGATAGCGATTAATTAATTTAGAAATACGCTTTTTTCGAGGATTATATATCTGTTGGTTGCAAAAACTTAATTTATAAAGAAACACAAACATTAACGTTATTTTTAATTAATCTATTTAATCCCACCCTAGTTAAGATGCCCTGGTATGTTGACATTCACTATTTTCTATAGCGCAAGTCCGAATTTGTTTTTTTTTAACTTTTTGTTGAATTGAACATATATCGGAAAATGTTTACACATATCAAGACGATTCTGTGAATATTAAACACAGGGAGCAATTTACAAATAACGTGAATTTTAATACCACGCTGCCCAGCTTTCCCGCATTTATTTTCTGTCTGTTAATGACTTTATTTATTGGAACAGTTTGCGACTTCATTTAATATCTGCCTACCATTACTGTGAAAAATGTGATGTTACAGGCGAACGATGAGGATACAGTGGATAGAGAAGGTTAGAAATGAAGAGGTATTAGAAAGAATAGGAAAACAGAGGACTCTATGGAAGCCAATAAGAAATAGGCGAGATAGGTTAGTAGGATACCTTCTCTCTCAGGCATGAAGGTCTAGTCAGAGATATATTAGAGGCAGAAACTGGAATTAGGAGGGGTAGAGGTAGACATAGATAGTTAATGATACGGGTTGTTCTAGTTTTAGGGAAATGCGAAGATTAGCTCAGGATAGGAAAGAGTGGAGGTACGTGTCCAACCAGTCTTACGACTGATGACCTTATGATGATGATGATGATTCTTAATGCGCTTCAATCGGCATGTCGACGATATCATTTTTGTTCACGTGATATCGATAGGAGGTGCGTGTCCAAGTCCAGTTCTGATATAGATTAGTATTATAAAAAACTTTAATTTTCTTAAAAAGTGTTAGTCGTAGATAGTAAAATCCATATATTGAACAAAAGGAAATAAAATTTTGCACATGATGAACTGATAAAAAATGTGACATTCCATTAAAAAAAAAATAGTTATGCCAGATCAAAACAATTTATTTTGGAAGTGATAGATTTCAATGAATTAGAAAAGAACATGTTTGCGATAATAGTAGAAATTTCTTCCACAAGCTATGTGTGAAAATGGCACACCCTGTGCGTGTTTTCGTTTCGTAGATACTCAAAATAGTACAGAGCACTGCAACTGCTTGTTTATTTATTTATTGCGAATTTTATGGAAATTGGTGTATTTTAGATATAATATATGGTTAAGAAAGCGGTTTTTAAATTTAACGAGGAATTTAAGGAAAAATGCAATAATTAATGGGGGAATTCCATTTGTAAAAACGAAGTTATATTACCTATTAAAAACGGAACACTCGATTAATCGTATAATCGAAAATAATTTTAGTATATGAAGAAACCTTTTTTGATATCTTCAACTGTAAAGCAGTTATTGAAGAAACCCGTTTGCTTGGAACACCCTGTATAAAAAAAAGTTCATATATCTCGTTTGAACGGGTTTACCTAGTACATTATGGTTACAATGCTTTCCTACTGTTTTCTCGTTTTTTATTATGTTCTTATAAATACAAAAACAGAGTAGATGCATGTGAAAAAAGTTGTGGAAATACGTTTTATGTCCTTTTGTATGACGAGTAATTCAAACGCGTTCAGGGATATATAGGTAATTTTGCACCTTATCAGTTGTTTACTATTGTTATACGTTATCACGGCTATGAACATTGAACGATATGTAAAGCATCTACCACTTCAGTGCTCGCTGAATTCCTCTATAGAATGGGCTAAATACGGCAATACTCAGCGAAGTGACGACCATTATTTTAGCGTAAGGACAATGTAAAAAATTCGGTAAGTGTACCTACAATTTTATATTTTTGACAGAATTAATTAAAGAAGCATAATTATTTACTCAAGTTTACAATACCATTTAATGATAAACGCTGTTAATGTACCAAATCTGGTAGGGTGTTTTAATGAATTACAACATGGGTAAGGTGCTCCTGTTCGAATGTTATCATGAGTATGGTACTTAAGGCTTATGTACGTATATGTATATGTACAGGTTACAGATATAAGATGAAACAGTGATTTTACGTAATGGCTGGCCATTATGTATACTGCCTAATAATTTGATAAAATAATTACTTTACCTATATATTACTCATAATAGCTAGTTGGAAGTAGTTAAAGTAATGAACATAAACATAAGGAATATAATAGTTGATCATGTCGAAATCAGTTAAAAAAGAAGGGCTTAACCAAACAAAAACCGCAGAAATTAAAAAACTAGGGCAACCACGACCGACTTAATCCACCAAGCAAGGCTCCGGATACTCAAAATTTACTAGTTTTGCTAGTTAATGCTTCCTTTTCAAAACTTCATTCATCTTACAATGCAAAATAAGCTAAATTTTATTGTACGTTTTTACATTATCCAAGATTTACTAGGTAATTTGTAATATACATAGATTATATTTCATTAATTCTATCCTAATAATCACTTTATCTAAATTAAGTATAGATATTATAGATAATATTTAGATTGATTACTTTAACTAGATGTTATTCATAATAGCTACCTGAAAGTGGATAAAGTTGTAACATAGACATAACGAATATAGTCGAACTTCAAATGAGGTTAAAAAGAAAGGGTACTACTTAGCAGAAACAGCAAAAAAATAAGAAAAAGACCTAGGGCAACCATAGCCGACTTAATACGCTTGGTTCTGGTTGCTGTAAGTAGCTTTATTATTTTTGCAAGGTAATGTTCCTCATTCGTAACATCATTTGTCTTTTGACTATATTTGTGACTGTTTCTTAACTTTATCTACCCCTGCAATAAAAAATAAAGCAAATTTTAATTTGAAATCATTTTTTCGATTTTTTATTTAGCCACTACAAACTACCTCAAGTTAATGTCATAGGACTTCATATATTTAATATATAAAAAGGTTAAA